CACACCTGGTTCATACTGCTTTGTAGATTGGACATTGATTTGTCCATCATCCATCCTCTCTGCCTCTCTGTTTGTTTGCCACAGGCGATTGAAAGAGAGCGGCCAGAAAAGTACCGCAAGCTTCAGGAGGCCACACGCACAGCACAGGCCCTAGTCGAGCAGGGTAACTTGCACGCTTACATACTCATTCACATGCATACACAGACATGCATGCTCCCCTCGTCTGTTCCCATGGCAACACTTCCACCTGTCCCACCCACTCTACTTGTCTCCATAGAAACACTCACTCACAGGGAGAAACGGACAGAAAGAGAGACTTCTCATCTGTCCTTCACTCTGTCCTTGTGACACAGAAACACTAAATGTTCTTTGTTTTTTTCCCTAACCTTAAAACAAAACATTCCTGAACTTTATACAACTTACTGACCAGAGCTACATCTGTGTATTTTCTCTTTAATGTTGCCTAAATTGTAAGGAAAATGCACTTGTGGGTTGAGCAGCAGAGTTGAGTGTGTGGTTACGCCCTTGAAAAACTTGCCAAATCTTCTCTGCCAGTGGCACACAGCTTAATCTACGCATGTTTTGATCTTCTGGTACCCCATGTGGTTGTGACAAATGCTGGTTGAAGAAAGGAATGCCATCCCTCAGATTCTGCAACCACTGGCATCCTCCTCAAGATGACACTTACTGCCACAGAGTTGTCAGAGACTGCCTCCAGACTACTACCAACCCATAAATGCGTTTTCCTTACAAATGTGGCACAGTTTTGAAGGAGAAATAAGCAGGCTTTCCATGCTGTAAGATTTATTACAAAGAAGAGTCGTTACAACAAAGAAATAATTAACCAATATGCATTTCCTTAGTTTTTGTGCCAAGTTCATATAAAATGGGATGCAAGCTGTACTGGTTAACATGTTGCCTTGAATTAAGTAATTCAAAATCTCTGAGTGCTCAGGTAGAGTACAAAATGCTACACAAGAACTAGTCCATTTGCCATAATAAGCACTCTAATTTTATTTAAACAAATTTATTCAGATGTCTGACAAAAACAATTTTCTTGCTGTCAGATGATGAAATGGTAAATGGACTGATTCTTATATGGCACTTTTCTACTCTCCCAAAATACTCAAAGCACTGTATACAACATGCCTCATTCACACTCATACAAACACATTCACACTCCAATAGACGCGTCGGAGAGCAACTTGGTGTTAGTATCTTCCCCAAGGATATTTTGCATGCAGACTGGGATTGACAAGAATCAAACCACAAACCTTCCAATCAGTAGCTGATCTGCTCTACCACCTGATCCACAACCACCCAATGAAGTGAAGATGAAGTCAATAAAATTGGTCTTCTTCATAAGTGACTGAATTCAATTGATCTGTTCCTGACAGTTATCGCCTACGAAATGCAGGTTATTCACGAAAAATAGAAAGAACAAAACACCAGCTAGAATTGTAATTGGGGTATAACAGGAGAGGAATGAAATAAACACATTTACTGTGGGCTGCTGTATTCAGATGCAAACTGCTATGGAAAGTACAGTTACCTGGTATGACATCATGGAGTATAATGAAGACATGATTCCATGTCAGAGTTGCAAGCATGATGCTGTCATTTCCAGGTGCAAATATAATATAGCCAACATGGTTCAGTTTACTCTTTTGGAGATGAAACTCTTTGTATGAACAGATTTCATTCATTCAACGTTAATATCTGTTTACATTAAATATACCAGTTAGTAGCACAGCGCTGTGTTTCTGTTAGCAGCAGACTGTTACAGGCCAGAGGCTCACCTCTCACCTGCACTCTTGTCTGCAGTTATCATGCTTATGTGAACTGTTATGTGGTATTTACTATATGTCTGTGTGTGTGACAGCCAACTCTTTCTCTTTCTGATCCTCCCATCACTACCACCTAACCCTGCCCCCTTACTCCAGAGGGGAGTCGTGCCGAAGACATTGCCCAGGCAGCAGAACAGCTTAACCAGCGCTGGGCAGGATTCTGCACCCTGCTGGGAGAAAGACTGGCATGGCTGTCCTATCAAACAAAGGTACACACATCTGAGTGCACATTATACCCAGGCCTTCAGTGTATGGGAAAATTTTCAATTGAACTTGGTATAGAACCATATGTTACATATTCTTCACAATACAATAAGGAGAGCACATATAAAAAATCACAGGTGTGAGTAAACGCGACCCAGTCTGGTCATTCTCTCTACTGCAGACTAAAAAGATAATAATGTGTGGGTGTTTGCTTATTTTGTCCTCTGCGTGTCCTGCAGGTACTGGCCTTCTACAGCTTGTATGAGCAGTGTGAGCAGGCAGTGGACAGCAGTGAGAACTGGCTCAAAGTTCAGCCCCCGCTGGCATCTGAACCAGAACCACTCAAAGTGCAACTGGACCGATGTCGGGTGAGCGAGTCCTTACTTTGGTCACTATCTGCCACTTGAATCCAAAGTTTACGTTGGTAAACAGCACATGCGGTTACTTTACTGCAGTGTGTCATCGTAGAGTTTTTCACCTCATGTTTTTAAATGGTTTTTGTTTTGTGTTAGAAATCTCAGAAGTTTCTGTTTCTTTCCATTTTGACATATTCATTTCTTTCTGTATTTCATGCACCTGTTTTGCATAGCACTTTGCTGTGAGTACTTTTTTGTTCTTTTTATGGATAATATATTTGCACTTATTAATTAAAAAAGTCTGTTTAATAATTCAGTTGACTCAGAACACAAAGTGTACTCGTGCTTTTAATACATTATTACACGTTCTGAAAATGTTGTCCTGTCTTTGACAGCAAATAAACCTCCATCAGAATTAACAGAATTGTCACGTTTAAAAGGTTTTTTTGTATAAAAGTAATGCAGTAAGGGCTACAAACTGCCTTTACTTATGTATTTTGCCAGACAAACCCCCTGCTCCTAACCAGATGTGTTTATAAAGGCCTGAGCTTCTTAAAAAGCAGGAACTCGGATTGCAACACAAAACACGGGCTTTGTGTGGCAGTTTTTTGTCAACATCTACACAACAGAAGAAGCAAAACCAAACTGAATAAATAAAAGACAGAGAGGCACAACTGAAGTGAAAGACAGGACAGAAACAGAGACAGGCGCCACCGGCATAAAGAGAGGAAGAGAGAAATGGGGCAGTAGGAACTTTCAAAGTAAGAGCATATCTGGACAAAATATGAAGGCAGAGAAATTACCGTACGGGGAGGAAGAGAGCTTCAATCGGATTCTTTTAAAATATGCCAAGCTTTCATTCAGTCAGCAATGCTGATGAAACACACTGTTCCAGGTTTAAAGGTACATAAAATTGTTCACATTATTCATGTGATGCTTGTTCTCTTTGTTTCACAGTCATATTTCAATGTTGCTGAACTCGTCCAACTTTCTGTTTGGCTTCCTGTTCATTAGTATTGGGGCGGGGGGGAGGGGGGGCTATGTTTAAGTACTTGTGTAAAATAAGACTAATTGAGTATAAGGTTAATAGGGTGGAAATGAAAACACTCAGCTTTTTACTCTGTATTGATTATTGGACATGTCTATACAACTAATACTCTGTAACACTCTTCCTCCCCCCAAATAGGAAGAGGTGGCTCGGCTGTCCTCACTGCAGCCCCAGGTGCACCTCCTGGATAAGAGGCTCAAAGAGCTGAAGGAAGAGAAAGAAGGGGACGAGGACCCTGCAGCATTCCTGGATGTTGACCTCAATGCCTTCAAAGAACACTACCACAAGGTCCTGGAGGATCTGAGGGCTAGAGAGAAGCACCTACAACTTGGTGAGATATTATTAACCTGGTTTACACTTTGTGTCCCCCGTGTCTGAGGAGGTGCTCTCAGGTCAGCGTGTTAGTTACGTCATGGTCATTACTACAATTCTAAATTCTAGAAGCTTTTTAACAACACGTTCATGTCACTTTTATCGGTAATGACACTATCCTGGCTTGTTATATATGAAGACTTTTCCAGCTGACTGATCTGGGAGGGAATTCTTATTTAATTCCAGTAACTAGCAGAGACAAAGTAAATGATATATGGATCAGATTTTATTTATTTATTTCGGATTTAATGCTTTTCTACTCAGCTTGATCACTCAAAGTGCTCTGTGCAACATCTTATTCACTCATTCATACACGTATTAATACAAGCACTTTTTTCTACACCTAAGAGCTTTCTAGTTAACATTCACACACACTGATGACCACATCTGCAGCACCTGCTCTCCCTCCTGCTCAGGAGGTAAGCAGACTTATTTTGTGTTTAAATTAAATGCTACTACACAAGTATGTTTTTTTAAATTGACACTGTCAGCTTCATATAGATCCTCAGAAATATGAGCTGCGTTCAAGTACCGGTGGAAAACTAAGACTGGGCCTCCTCTGTATTCCTGCGTTTTTGTTTTGTTTTTTCAAATAAAACTAACATTTCTTTCTATAAATAAACAGAACAGTTTGTCTTCCCTGTACTAGAAAGCGTAGGTTTACCAGTTACAGACACTACTCTGTAACCTCTGAGGGTTAATATTTGGTTTAAATAAGCTGCTGCTACATGCTGGACGTTTTTTAGCTTGGAAAAGTCAAATCCGTGTGAGTGAACACCATGGCTACACATCCTCTCAAATGAGCACATGCTAACTACTCACTGTGACGTTAGGGTGGCTGTAGCTCAGGAGGTACAGCAGGGCATCTACTGATCGGAAGGTTGGTAGGTCAATCCCTGGCTCCTCCTAGTTTGTCCTGCGGCAAGATATTAACCCCGAGCACTTCAAAGCATAGATACAGTGAATGTGGCATATGGAGTGCTCCAGGGGACTAGAGAAGCGCTGAATAAGAATCAGTCCATTTACCCTTCTCTGGGTAAAGTTACATGAAACACTATGTATTAAGGCTAATTGACCGTGTCTTTTACTCTGGCTAATGAGTGACAGAACTGATAAGTCAATAGAAAGCAAGGAAAGAAAAACTAGAAGGCAGTTTGAAGGAGTCACTTTTGTACTGACTCTGGCTGAAACAATGCAGCTTTATGCCAAACCCATACTTGTCCATCAAATTGCAAGCCAGAGAAGTGTGATTGGTCACTCCAGCGAGCATGTCTCTAGAATCCAGTGGCAGCATGCTTTACACCACTGCACAGACTTCTCTGAGATATCGCTTTTCTTTCATCTTTTTCTTGTCTGTCTTTAGTTTTGGAGAGTTTGCCCCCAGCTCGCTATAGGGAAACAATATCAACATTGTTGTCATGGTTACAACAGTGTGAAGCCAAGCTGGCCATTCCATCAACAGCTGTTACAGAATATTCAATCATGGAGCAGCGACTAAAGGACAATCAGGTTTGTTCCCACACACACATACACACACATAC